GTCCTACAATTTGATAGGTGGGTGGGGGTGAAGGAAATGGGAAAGATCCGGTGTGGAAAACAATGTATACAAACTTTGTAAAAAAAACAGTATAAAAGAAATCTTTTTAAAAAACCCAACTCCCCTCCCCAAAAAAAAACCAACCCTGAAACAAGTTTTAAAGCAACGAATATCTCTGAAAATAAAGAGGAATGGGGTAAAAGCAGTTCCACATAACTAAAGGTTTCTGTCCATGACCCGTTAGTTCTCTGCTGGATTGACATGGCAGCTGCAGTGATGGGCTCAAACATGCCTGTCATTGTGAGGATGATGCAGGGCCCAGCAGTGTTTCCTTCCTCCTATATGACGTGGCTATAAATTGAAGCTGACTTGGTGTTACGTATCAGCAACAACAACAAAATGGTTTTAAATAGCCATAAATGATTCCTTAAATCTGGACAGTATGTAACTAACAAATGACCAGAGTTAGAGTCTCCTTTGTATATTTTGTTGCATGTTATGCATGCCCACTGCATCCTGCACGACAACACCTCTATCTCACAGATATTGTTACCAGGAGAGTTCAGTGAAAAGTAATTTTGTCTCTTAAAAAACTCAGGTAGCATAGCGGCTGTCCAGCCTGGTGCAGTCAGACGCTATAGGTGGGATTTCCCCGAGACTTACATGCAGAATCTCCTCTAAAAGTTCGTTTGTTACCCAATCTTATGATATATCTGATCCTACTTTTCCACATTCTCCCTTTATAGCAGTCATCCAAATCCTCAGACTTGATAGTACTCTCATTTCCCAGTGATAATTTTGCTTCTTTAGATAATGTTGTTGTGCGCCATCAAGTTGGAACTGACTCATAGCCAACCCTCCAGCAGGTTTTCAGAAAATCTGAGACAATAGTCTTGTTAATCAAAGCAGTTCCTAACTACACTGCCATAAAAGAAGAGCTATTGGTGGCCTAGTGGTAAGAATCTGTGCTGCAATCCTGAAGGCACACAGTTCTAATCTGTTAGCTGCTCTGCGGAAGGATGGACAATCTCCACCTGTGGCATTAAACTGCCTCTAAAACCCCAGTGGAGGGTCAGCTGTGAGTCATTTCTGACTTTATGGTACACAACAAGAAGTACTTTACGTAATATATTATTTCATCTAATTCTCTCAAAAAACCCCTATAAACTAGATTTCTGGTATTACCCCATTTGATAATAGAAGGAGCCCAAAGCACAGTGCCTTTAAGTGACATTGCCATGATGACCTAGCTTACAAATGGGGGGGCTAGAGTTCAAACCTATGGAGTAATAACACAAAACCTGGCAAGGACTGAGGGTTATATTTACAACAACAACAAAACACTGCAAGAAATCAAACTTGCTAACATTTAATTGATTCTAATTTGTAGTGGCCCTGTAGGACATAGAGTAGAATTATAGAGTTCGCTATAAATCTTTATGGCAGTGTCTCTGTCCTGTTGTCCACCCATGGAGCAGTAGGTGGTTTTGAACTATCAATCTTTTGGCTAGCAGATAAGTAACACTGTGCCAGCAGGCCTCCTGTGACTTTCATTCACGTTAAGCTGATGGATTCTTGTTTGTTTGTTTTTGAAACTCATCTCTTATTTTTAATTTTTTTTAAAACATAATATTTCAAGCATGTAGCTACAACAATAGTTTGCCACTCTTTTTAAAGAGTGTATTAGAAAACAAAATGTGTGATAAACATTTTTTAAATTCTTTTTTAAAAGGGTTTTAAAATTAGATCTCTGAAATTTCTGCCAAATGTTCCCTGTCCTCTAATCTTTGTTAGAGTGGTAAACATTTTAAAAAATTTAATGTCTATCCCAACCACAATTCTTTGAAATTCAGTTAAAAACTATCTAACAAAAATAAGTATTTTTTCCTGAAAAAACCACATTTGGCATCTTAAATGTTAAGATATTTATATATTTTTCCCTTATTATCTCAAGTCTTACTTCGGCTTTAGTAGTAATGAGGAATTATGATGCTGTAGCTTGTAACATCAACTTAAGAAGTCAGTGGGAAAGGACAGTGCTTTCCTTTTCTCTTAAAAGTGGAGTTAGCAACCAAGTCCTTTTCTCTTAAAAGTGGAGTTAGCAACCAAGCACTGAACACCTACCTGTTCCCTTTCGTAGGCCAAGGGAACGTCATACAAAAAAGTAATGAAAACACAAGTGAGGGTTTGAGTAGTGTTAGAGTGAGTCTGAACAGGTAGGCAGAAATCTGCTCATAGAGACTTATTTGATAGACGTTCTCTTTTAGGAAGTGAGACACAGAATTTAAGCAGGACAATAATAGGATAAGCACTGCATTTTTCAATAACCCCTCTGTCAGTGATATGGAAGAGGAATTGAGATGTACTGAAGAAATTGGAGGCATGGACGTCTATTAAGAGCATGTGCTTTATCTTAGAAGATAATGAAGGCTGGGTTGGAATAGAAATGTTAATGATTGAGGGGAGATGTACTTGAGTGCTGCAAGAAGAAATTGATGCTTTTGTATTTAAAATATATATATATAAAAATAAAATATAAAATATATAAAAAACATTGTTGTGTACTGTTGAGTTGGAACTGACCCATAGCTGACCCTCCAGAGGGTTTCAGAGGCATTTAAAGGAACAGGAGAAGATTATTCATCCTTCTCCCATGGAGTCTTGAACACATGCCTTCAGGATTGCAGTTCAGCTTCTTGCCACTAGACCACCAGAGCTCCCTTAAAAAGCATTCGAGAAAATCATACTGTTCCTCTAGGTGCCTGTCTTCCTATTCAAGGAGTTGTGCTGATGAGACTCTCAAGAGTCAAGGGTACTGCCCACGTTGCTGCTGCCGTTAAGGGCTTTCTTGTTGGCTGCAAGTCCCAGCGCTCGCGTGTATGATGGCATGAAATACTGCCCACCCAGCCCATCCTCACAGACATTGGCTTTGCCTGAGCCCTTGTTGCAGCCAGTGTGTCTTGTTGAGAAGCTAGGGTCGTCTAGACTAGGTTAATGATAAAAGTTTCCAAACAAGAGTAAACATGAATATGTTATTTTGAAAATGGTAATATTTAATGTTTTCACATTAAAGAAATAAACAGGTATGAAGATTGATTGATTATTTTACAAGATTTTAAAAGACATGGAGCATAAACTTGTGTATACAGAAAGTAAGAATTATAAACAAAAACTTTAAGACACTGCCGTTGCCTTTAAAACCTTATCTTCAATAGTTACCCGAAAGTGAGGATCAGTAAATTTAATTATTTGAATATTTCCTATGCTTTATATGTTTAAACTGTTTATTGGATTAATTTATTATCAATTCATTTTAAACATTACTGCTTAGCCATTAAAATAATTTTTAAAAAAATTTTTAAAAATATTTTTTCAAAAAAAAATATTTTTTCCACACAGTCATAGGTGAATTAGCTCTATCTCAAAATTTTAAAGACCAATTTTAGTCATTATTTTTAAAAATTATTGAGCTTTAAAACATAATCTCAGTCAAGATAACAAATACTGGTCACTTAAAAACACAGGAAACTCTAAATAGTATGTGTATGAACGAACAATCAGCCCTCCTTGATAAATCTTGTTGTTCTTGATGTATGCCACTGAGCCAGAACCGACTCCTAGCTGAACCTTCAGCGAGTTTTCAGAAGGCAGTCAATTAATTAGACAGAAGGAGATTGCCCATCCTTTCCCATAGAGCAGCTGGTGGATTCAAACAGCATGCCTATGGGGTTGTGGTGCAGCATCTTACCACTAGGCCACCAGAGCTACAATGTATATTTCATACATTTGGTGGTGGTGCTATGTGCTGTCACGTCACCTGCAATTCATAACGACTCCATACATAATTCGTGGATAAAATGTGTTAAGCAAAAATTTTATGGAATCTACTTTCCTTACTATCTTATAGATCATGAAAGTCTAGATTATACTTTTTAGTGAGGTGTATGAAATAGTAAAGAGGAATGTTACAGAATATTTTGTTAGAGAAGTGTTGTGAAAGTTCAATGGAAAATAGAATTTTGAACCTTTGATATAAAGTAGAAAGATAGACAAACTTTGAAGTAGTTATATGGGTTAATATATTTGCTCAAGTCTCCTGAAATTATACCTATTTCCCATCAAATCAGAAGACAGTCTCTTTATGAGCATATATGTTTCTCAAAATTTCTGATACATCTACTTTTTATCACAGCTTTGTATGATGAATCACTTAATATTATTGCTTATATTATAAAATTGACCTTCAGACTATTATAGCCTATAAATAAATGCTTCGTTCACACCACCAGCTTACGTCAAACAAATCCGACCAGTAGATTAGCACAGTGATAAGAAATCTTAAATTAGAAACTATATGCAGAACAGAGGAAGTTAAAGCCATTTTTTTACCATCAGCATATGAAGAGTTAAACTATGACCTTTAATATTATTTTCTGAACACTTTTACAAGTGACATGCTGCTGTATTTAAAAATATTTTAAGTGACAAATAACTGATAATACATTAGTTGTATGTATTATTTCTCTTTGCCTGGGAACTATAATGCTGTTAGATTTCTATGACACAGATGCTGTAAATTGATATCTTTCAGAACAGGATTAGGACATTTAGGGGCAAATAACTACCCAAATCACCATTTGTAACCTGAAAAGTAATGTATTTTCAGCTGTACTTAAAACATAGCCAAAATGTAGATTTGTGTAAAATCTACAATGAACAATTATTGTAGACAATAATACAAATAATAAAAGATTTCATTAAGAGAATTAGAAATCTAATATGTAATCCTTAATATTTCTATTTATAAGCGTTTATTTGGATAACAGCATTATAGCACCAAGATATAATTTTTCAGCTTTATTTCAAATGCTGTATAGCATAAGGACCCACAACTTGGGAATGTATTTTTGAACCATGGAAAAGGAATGTGAAACAAGGCATTTTCCAAAGTGCTGTAGCCTTATTAGGTAACAAAACCTGTAGGAATGAGCTCTTATGATCTATAGCTTAAAATGTTTGGGTCTAATCATCATTTTGGTCTCTTTGAAGGAGAACTTGTAGCCACTAGGATGTGCATCATTCATACCAGGCCAGGTGCCCCAGAAAATCCCGTTCCGGACACCTTTGTATTTCTGGTGATAATACTTGCCGTTTAAGTTTGCAGACATACATGCATCAAACCACCAGCCTGAACTGTAGAAGAGCCCACAGTTCCCTGAGGGATACCGGTCATTGTCTCTATCTGGGGTGGTGAAAAATTTCATATCGTGGTTATACTGCTTACTGAAACGTAAGGCATCTCCAGCTGTGCCATTGTAGTTACCAATGTGTACCCGGTATCTGAGAAACTCATTAGCCACGTAAAAATGATCATACAAGGCGTACAGCTTGACACCATTAAAGTCTTCAAGATCTACTCTCAGAATCATCTCGCTACTCTTGGTCAAAAGATGGATTTTATCATTTCCCAGCCAAAATTCTCTTCTGAGGTTTCCAAAGCCAGTTTTGTAGTCATGCCAGCTTCTGTTGAAGTTGGTGCTTCCGTCGAGACGTGCCTGCAGCACTGTCCAGCCTCCCCCCATGGTCTCCATGTCACAGTACACCTCGAAGCTACTGTTTCTGGAATCAGGGGTGACTCTGTAGATCTCACTGCTTCTTTTGCCTATTGTGTAGTACTCAGAGCAGTCTTTATATATCAGATGTTGCACTGAAGAAGGAAGACAACACAGGTTTGAATTTCATTAGTGAAAACTATGCATTTGAATAATTATTTGTAGGTACAAAGACATTTTGATCAGTCAGTCATTCAATTTCATTTCAAATAAAGAAATCCTGCGCTGCCATGCCTACTTGCATTCCTTTAGCAAGCATGTTTGTTAGGGACTAGAGATAGTTGTTACAACAACGTTAAAACGGTATTCTTTGTGTTATGAAAGCAGAGCATGGCTCTCAAACATACTCTCAGTTGGTAATAATGACAACAGCAATAACAAGCAATCATAAGAGTAATAAATAAAAATAATAGTGTGTGCTACCTGTATGTCCTAGGTACTATGCCACAGTAACGTTTGATTACATTTTCATGCTTAATCCACATCAACCTTATGATGTAGGCATTGTTCCCAGTTTGCAGGTGAGAAGACTTAGATGTTTTACATGCAATAGTATGGGGTAGAGCCCAGACACAAACTCAGATCTTTCTGGCTGTGAAGCTTGTTCTTATAAATAGCGTGTTCTGGGGACCAGAAAGTTAAGAAAATCCCAGCTCTCCTAGACCTTCATTCTGCATAGACAGAAGCAACACCAGTGTCTGTTTCCATTTTCTAAAGGGGCTGATAAGAAGGTCTGGTGGTGCAGTGCTTAGGTGCTCCCCTGCTCCCCAGAAGCTGGCAGTTGAAGCTGGAGACTGAAGAAGAAAAGAAGGGGCCGTCTGCTCCCACAGAGTTAGAGCCTTGGGAAACAAACCTGTGGGTGCAGGTCCTCTCTGCCCTGTAGGGTTGCTGTGAGTTGGAAGGAATTTGATGGTACTAGGTTTGGGCTTTGCTGTTTGTTTGTTTTTAGGGTAAAGTGATACAAATTCATTGTCAGAAACTTATCTAGAACATGTTTCAAATGATGCCTTTTGAAATTAGAAAATATAGCATTGGTCATAGATTGATTTTTATTTTTTCCTACATGAAAGCTAAATTTAAAAAAAACAACACAAACACACAAGTAAAAAGAATTTTTTAAATAACATACTACTACTCCAAGACGTGTCTGACTCAGAGTGGTGCGCCTTCTGCTTCCCCATGCTATACATCTTTATGGGAGGAGGTTGCCTGTCTTTCTCCCAAAGTGAATTGGAAATGCCAGCACTTCAGGAGCATTCAGTCTAAGATTTTACACACCATACCACTAGGGCTCCGATATACCAATATTCTTAATTTATTAGCTAAAGTTGTATTTATCCAGTGTTTCCCCCATCTGGTTTTTAGAAAGTGACAGGAGGCGATAATGTTCAGGATAAGTTCAATAGTCATTTCTGCGGGAGTCAATGATAGTTACTTAGTCTCCACTAATCTGAATAAAAGTTGTGTCTGGTAAGTTTATTATTAGTTCCTCTTAGACACAAAAATCTATTGCTGTGTTTTCCAGTCAGTCAATCCTGGCTGCCGAGTTGGAACCGACTTAGAGCTGAGCCTCCTGTGGATTTTCGGAGGCTTTAGATTGCATAGTAATTGCCCACCTTTGCACATACACCTCCACCTCCCCCTTGCAGAGCAGCTGGTGGATTTGAACCTCCAGAGAAGTGTGGCCTTTCAGCTAGTGTTGCAGCTTTCTAAGACAATGCCACCCTTATAAGATTCAGATATTTCCCCAAATATTTGCACAGAGAAACAGACAGTAGAATCTTATTTATACCATTACAAGTTGCCGTGCAATGCTAAATCTAATGTGCATGGAGGCTTGTCACCTAAAATGTGAACCTCTTTTGTAGCATAATGCGGTGTACCCTCTGATACAGACTGCCAGGGACACTGCCTATGTCCTTGGAACCTTCACTGGCAGGTTGCTTGGAGGTAGAACACGCCTATAGTACTTGACCAATGAATACAGTCTATGCCAGGCACTCGACACCTTCGCATCACACTGATAGCAAATAGATGCACGGTTAATGCAAAGATAGCTTTGCTTGGTGTAAAAAACACCATCAGCAGCAGTTTTCAGGCACTTGAGTGGAAAGCCCAGTTTCAGAGAACCCAATGACATCAAGTTCTGGGCACAGTCATGAGTAGGTGTGTGCTTCTCAGCATGTACTTGTAGAAGTTAAGTTTCTCTGAACGGTGAGGGTGAGTTTTATATGCTTGAACTCTGATTTACACAAAGCAGATCAAGAACCAAGAATGGATTCCTTACTGTAGGTGCATGCCCAGACTCTCTCCCTTATAGTATTTTTGTGCCACAAAGTCTCAAGGCATTTTGCACATATTTGAAGCCACATAACTGCTTTTATTCATCTCTGAACTCTCCTCTTTTCAAGAGAGATGTGGGATTATGGACTGCAGATTTACTTGCTAAAATCTCTGAAAGAGCTCTTGTTGTGTGAGAAATGACACTCCTCAACCCCGAGGCACTCCTCTGGAAAGCCAGTTTCCGATGAACAAAATGTAACTGTAAACATTTCCTAATCTCGATTGTTTTCAAGCACTTCATTGGAAAGATGAAGGAATCAACTGCCCTAAAACATCAAGACATTCTCCTTCTGCTTCTGCTTGTCTAGTATCAGTAAGATCTTGAAACTCAAAGTGCTTCCTATTCAGTCTAATTACAGTTCCAGGAGTTAGTTAGATGTATAGCCACACTTAGGGACACATTTTCTGGACCTCTTTGATAAATAAAAGACATTTATTTATCCCATCACTTATTTAGCTCATTTGAGCCCGTTAATGTTTGTAGACATTGCACAACTGCATAGCGTGCACAAACAAGTGATAAGAAAACAGGATTACACATACCTGGACGTGGTTGAACAGCTTCGTGGCTCGAACAATTGGATGAACATCTGCCATCCAGCCTATTGATAACAAACGTAAGATTGGCCACTTTCCTGTCAACATAGTTTTCTATGCTGTTCATATTTACGAGATTCAACTTCTCCAGGCGACCCTGAAGCCCATCGATCTCCTCCTTGGCATTCTTCAGTTCCGAGGACAGCTTGTTAACCTCACTCTCTAGCTCTCTAACTCTGTTGTCAGCAGCCTCCCTGGGAGCGCCCGTGCTGGGTACCAGCAGTCCGTTCCTGCCCGGGTCTCCGTTGTCATCAGCCTGCAGTTTGCAGTCTTGGCAAGACTTCTGCAGGTGACTGACGAGCTCTTTGAGGTTCTGGACTTCTTTAAACACCTCTTCGATCTTGCTGAACTGCTTGGGGAGCTGGAGAGTCAGCGGAGGCAGGCTCACCTGGAAGGGGCACTCGGCCCCCTCCTCGCATTTGCCTCGGCTCTCTAGCCTCACGGGGCAGGCGTCCTGCACGGTTTCATCTCTGACTTCCTCCGTCCCATTGTTTGCCACAACCAGAAGGCTGTGGGCGGCCAGGAGGGCCGAGCTCAGCCAGCACAAGTTAGCAAGCTGCATCTCCGCGGTGGTGCTCACCCCAGCAGGGAAGTGGGCAGGCTGGGGCGGCTTTAATAGCAGCAGCTGCCTGAGTCAGGCGTTCTCTGTTCCCAGAAAAGGGCGGGAGTATTTGCATCACATTTCAGAAACGTAGAGGAAGAGGAGTTTCTCCTCATTGGTTACAGACTGCCAAAAACAATTCATTTACTCTCATCCCAACTGAAGCATATCAGGACCCAGTGGGTCAGGTGCAGCCTAATGGACACTCATGAGAAAAGTCTTCTGTCTCAGAAAGAATTTGTTGCATGTATGCTTAAAAGAAATCATTTCGTTATCTTAAAGGCCACTGGAAAAGTGACTTTTTCCAAGAAAAAGTTTTGTGCTGGACATCACAACTGTGTGAAGAACAGAAATGCTACTAAAATGGAAACTCCTCTTAGAACATTGACGATCTTGTTTGGAGTTTTAGGTGAAACCTTTGTTGTTATGTGCTAGCAAGTTGGAACAGATTACAGATGACCCCTTCAGTGGGTTTTCGGAGGAGATTGGGCATCTTTCTCCCAGGGAGGAGCTGGTGGATTTGAACATTTCACTTTGGGGTTAACAATGCAACTCCTTACTCACCAGGCCACCAGAGCTTCCAAGGTGACATTTCAGACACTTTTAAAAATGTCTAGGTCTAATAAAGTGAAGCATTGTGACATTAACAATTTTTAAAAAAAAAATCATTTTGTTTTTTCCATCTATTAAGAAAGAAAAGAAATAAGGGGAAAAAGTGCTACTTTCTATTCCTTTGGCCATGGCAGAGTTGTGTAGGACTCACAGCAACCCTGTAAACAAGAGATTTGACCCATGTTCTATCCTATGCCATCCTCCTCCTGAGCTCCGGTGTACTCGAGCTCACTGTTGCAGTCACCATCTCACTGAGGGTCATTTTCTCTTTTGCTCACCCTCTCCCTTTCCAAGCATAATGCCCCTTCCTAAGGAATAGCCTCTCCTAGCAATATGCCATAGGTTTTGTAGTTGTAAGGAAGAATGCAATTCTTCTTTTATTATTGGAAATGAAATTTCATCATCCCTGCCTCTAAGGAGCATTCTGGCTACACTTTTTCTGACTGCATGAGTTTGTTTGGGCTTTTTGTTGTTGTTGTTGTTTTTGTTTTTTGGTTTTGGGGTGGTTTTTTTTTTTTGCAGTCCATAGTATATTCGATACTCTTCTCCATCATAACTCAAAGACATCAATTCTTCTTCTGTCACCTTTATTCATTGCCCCACTCTTAGCTCTAACAATTGATTGAAAAAGACCATGGCCTAAATCAGGCACACCTTAGTCTTCAAACTGACAGTGTTGCTCCTTAGTACTTAAAATACATTCAAAAGCACACCATGGTCTTTAACCAAAACCAGCAGCCTTCCATCCTGTGCCCTTCACTGTTTCTGCAATGGCACTATTATCCTCCACAACAACTCACACATGAGCCTTTGAATTAGTACTGTCTCTGTTTTAATTCCCTATGTACAACTTACTCTGTCTTCCATCCCCTCTCCCCTTACAGCCCCCCTAGAATGTGATTTCTGTGCTTTCTGTCTCCACAACGGGCTCCTCAGTCCAGTCTCTGCTCACTCTAGCCTCAAACTTGTCAGCATTCATGACAGTGGTTTTTAAACTTTTTACTGAGATTAGGAAGAGAAAAGAGCTCCGATCTGATAAAACTGTCCCCTTTTTAATATTCTTTGCATGCTACTGTTCCATGGATTTCTTTAAAAAGAAAGAATTGTGTTGCTTTAAAATAATTTCAAAATGACAAGCATAAAAATGCAGATCTGTCACTGTATTTATTAAAACTCAAAACTCATTGCTGTGTGTTTGAAGAGACTCAGAGCTGACCCTCCATTGGATTTCTGAGACTGTAAATTGCAAGAGTAGTGACTGGCCATCTTTCTTCTGTGGAGCTGTTGATGGATTGAAACCACTGGGAAGGGAGGGCCATTGGGTTATCAATACCACTCCCTGAAGGCTAAGAGCTTCTAGTGGATTTTCAGAGGCTGTGAGTCACAAGAGAGAAGATTGCTCATCTTTCTCCTGGGTCGCCGCTGGTGGATTCAAGCCACTTGCTTTTGACTTGGCAGTGCAATTGCTTACCACCAGAGCTCCCTGGGTATATAAAATGACTCTCTAATATGATTCATATTTGTTCCTTTAACCTTATTTCCAATGACTATTTTTAGGCAGACCTTTCATTCCAGTCAAACTACCATCTGCACTTCCTCAAAGTACGTCAAGCTAACTTTATTCTTCCACAACTGAATTTACATTTTTCCTCTCACATCCTGTCTGTTTTACTTGACTTAAAGCCCCAAACTCCCTTCCTTCCTGAAGCCTTCATTGTACACACTTCCACTGCCACACACATAACCACACTACATGTATGTATATACGGGCGATCCCCCGATTATTACTTAAATCTGTGCCTCGCTGTATCTTTAAGAATGTGTAGGTAAGTCAGACTAGGTACAAACAGTTCAGTTCGTAGTTAGCCTTCATTCAACCTAAGAAGAGTCTCAAAGCTTTTTCAGTGACCAAGATCATGATGAAGAGTTTGTTGAGCTTAAGAGTTAGTTCTGTCATTTCAAAATGAGGGCACATTTACATAAAATTAAAAGGCAAGTAGGACTGATAGCTGAATCTGAAGGATTCCCCAGATGTCCCTTTTATAGGATCATCAACTTTACTGCGTTTTGTAACTGTAAGGAAGAATGTAATTATTCTTCTTTTATTACTGGAATAATATCTACAAAAACTTAAATTCTTGGGGGGGTGGGTAGATGCAGTGTATAAATTTAACATTCTTCCTGAACACATTTGTCAAACATATTGACCACGCCTTCTGCCTCATTTTCCTTCATCTTCTTCCAAGGTTTTAAAAAGCATATGTAAAAAAAAGAAAATCAAATGTTTGTCTTTTTATCCCATTGAGTATTTTTAGATATAAATAAAATTTTTAACTTTCTTAGTAAAGTCATCCATTTATAATCTCCTAATTATATTTCCCTCTCCTTATTGTTCTCAAGCTGTGACTGTTATAAGAAAAGAAAAAAATATTTAATAGAAAAAGCAACA